TGCTGGTCCCGCGTGGTCTCGCTCATGGCTCACTAGGCCTGCCTGACTCAGGCACTCACGACCGCATGTGCTACAGCACCATGCGCTCGACGTCAATGGATTACCCTCCATCGGCAACCGTCGCTTTCGTAACTGTCGCTCCTTCTCTGAATGCAAGAGGGCCTTCGTTTGCGCCTCAGTAACGGTCTTCGTAACTGGATCGCGCCATGAACGCCGATCAGCCACATTCGATTCCCAACACCTGAAATCAACAGTAGAACGTGATAGGCTCACCTTGATCATGTCCTGGTAACGAAGCTTCGGTTTCCCCACATGCCACTTCCCCACACTCAGCTGACCATATAGCAGCTGCTTCGGTATCCGCTTCGAATCCACACGACACACATGACCGAACCACCACAGGTGTCTCAGCAAAAGTATACAGTACAGGACGTACATTCCACTTCGGCGCAGCGCCTCCGTGTCTGCAACTCTGTCGCACCAACCGATGCGCAGAATCCGTCGCAGACACTGTTGATGGAACCGCTCGAGATATCTCACATCTCGCCGGTACATCGTCCACGTTTCGCTGCCGTATAGAAGAACGGACAGCACCATGGATTTGTACACCATCAGCTTCGTGCCAACGGTAAGCTGGTGGTTGTTCCACACTCGGTACTCAAGCTTCCCGAATGCCGCCGCTGCCTTCGATACGCGGATACGAAGCTCACTGTGTAGTTGCTGGTCAGTCGAAACCACACTCCCAAGGTAGCAGAAGCGGGAGGTGGTTTCCAATACTTCATCACCAATGCTGATTCGCGGCACCATTGCAGATTGCACCTCCGGTGAAGGCTGAAAGAGACAGACAGTTTTGCTTGTGTTGATGGTGAGCCCGAATTTGGCCGCTGTCGAAGCCAGAGCACTAGTCATGTGCTGCAACTCATCCGCGCTGTGTGCAAACAACGCGCAGTCGTCAGCGAACAGCAGCATACGGATGGCTGTCCCATTGCCAAAGTTCTCACACCGGAGCGACGGATGTTCAGCAACCCAACATCAATACGGTGCTCCACACGAACACCGTAAGCACAAGCCGCATCAAAAGCACAAGACAACATTGCATGAAGATATATATTAAACAGGGCAGGAGCTAAGACACAGCCTTGCTTCACACAAAAGACAACTGCAAAGTCATTCGATGTCTGTTCACTCATCTGCACCCTCGCCCGCATACCACTGTGCAGACATTCAGTTAAACTTACTCGGATAACCAAACTCACCTAAAGCCAATCACAATGCCCCGCGGTTCACCGTATCAAACTTTACAGTGAAATCAACAAAAAAGCAAGTACAGCGGGTGGTGTAGTTCTCTGCACTTCTCCTGCAACTGACGAGTAGCAAACACCATATCTATAGTGCTGCGACCCGAACAGAATTCAGATTGCTCATGCGCCACGTTCGTTTCAACGACCTGAGTAATGAGCCGATGGAGCAGAATTCGCGCAATAAACTTGCCCACACAACACAACAAGTTGATACCACGATAGTTCGTGCAACATTGCTTGCTCCCTTTGCCCTTGTACAGTGGTAGCACAAGGACATCCTTCAGCTCAGCAGGCACCTCCTCCTCAATCCATACGCGTTGCACAACGTGGTGCAACGCATTCACCAATGCGGGTCCGTCGTGTTTCAATACTTCAGGCGGGATCCCGTCGGCACTGACACATTTGTCGGTTCGCAGCTGATCAAATGCTCTCTGCGTCTCATCCACTGTCGACGTGTCTGCCAGTCACCTTCACATCGTGCTGCTTCAGGCCGTTCGATGTAGGCCAGTCAATCTCCGAACGGTTGGTTGTTCCAGAGACGGTCAAAGTGAATTCGCCAGATCTGTATGATGTCTGCAGTCTACATGCAAGCAGCGCCTGATCTACCATGGATCAAGGTCCTCAGCGGCTCCAATCTCGGTCGATACACCACCTTCAAGGAGTCAAAGAATTCCTTGTGTTCGCGAGGCTTGGCGTAGCATTCCATCTGCTTCGCCTTCTCCGTCCACTATGCATGTTTAATGCGACGGAGCTCAGGAGTCAGCCGCCATCGAATTTTGAGTAACTGACTCCACTTCCCCAAGTCACTTGTGTCTGTCACATTTGCAGCAAGTGCTATATTCATCTCAGACACCAATGCGCCAATCGTTCCATTGTTCTCATCAAACCAATCAGGATTCTTACAGTTTGCGAGCACGATGGTCACCTTGGCAGCAGTTGTCACCTGATCGCGAATGTGGTGCCACAGTTTGCCCACTGTGGCTATGCAGTCCACAGGCGTGCAGCCATCGCCTTCCCCAGCTCAATACGTTCCGCCACAGTACCGAGGGAGAGAATGTTGAATCTACGCCGATTCACGGCTGAAGTGCAATACGTAGATTCACGAAAACATCTGTACAGTTTGGTCTGCAACAATTTGTGAGCAGTGCCACACTCAGCTTCATGCAGCACACGTGTCATGTGCACTTCACGCATATCACGCTGACGTAGAATGACATAGTCGAGCAGGTGAGCGTGACCAGTCCGTGGGTGCCTCCAAGTTGCTTTATCACTCGCACTCAGTGCAAACCGAGTTTTCGTGATCGTCAGACCGTGAGTGACACACACTGAAAGCAGCCTGTCACCGTTCGCATTCGTTGAACCAATGCCATGCGGACGGAGAATCTCTGTCCACGCCGATGCATCACGCCCAAAGCGACCTTTGACATCAGGCAGCAGAAATAGTCAATCGCTCTTCGGCACAGACTGCATCAGGAAGGATAGATGAGTGTAGAAGTGGGAATGCGTGTCATCAGGATAACACCTGGTCGAACCTTGCTTGCTTATGAAAGTAGCAACCACTGCAGTAGCAGTAACAGCCTCGCCCTGATGCCTTGATTCACCCAGGGTATCACTGAGCGCTGCAATAATGATGTGGTAGCGCGCCAGATCGAACGCGCCTAGTGTAGTGCGTCGCTCAGTGCGCTCACTCTAGTTCCAGTCCAGTAGTGTGCACACGTTCCAGCACCTGATGTTGAGTACTTTGCGTGCAGGCGTACGATTGCATTGATGGGCATATCGCACGCGTGGGTGGTGGTTGTGCTTCGATGTGAGAGCCTATGGTGTGCTGAGGTTTATGGTGGCTAGATCCTAACTGATGGTCTACCCACTGCTGCTACTCTTATGCAATGGGCTCATGTCCTGGATGGCTCCTCATGGCGACCGCTGGATGGGTGTTGGGTACACCGTACTCCTAGCTCTTAGCTAGGGCACACCAATCCGCATGAGTCAGTGAACTGACCATGTGCTAGACCCGCTGCCTTTCGGGTGTTCATTTAATCGAAGGCTTTGGCTGAGGACCCGAGTCGTTCCCCTGTCAGGTGTGAGCGCCCTGTCAGTATCCTAGTCCAACACACCTCCTCTACGAAGGTTATGAATTGCTCGGTGGCCCCCTTCCCGTAAAACCTAGCCATGGGAGACTACAGGTCTATGGGTTATTAGCTCACCGCTCAACTGGCTTAGACCTCAAGCGCCACGCATTGTCTCTGACGGTGGGAGGGCAACTCCTGGTGCTCAATGCTTTGCTACCGCTCGCATCAAGTCAGACAGACCCTGCTCAAACTGGTGCAAACCCGCCAAAACACTGCTGCGTCTATCGGAGTCGCAGGTGCGTATCTTACTGCGGTCGCAAAACACAAACGAACTGTTGCAGAACTTTAAAGGCTGCGTGTGACGGACCTCAAGTAGATGCCAATCTGTCTCTGCAATCACATTCCCGAGCTGGATCTTCTCCCCAATGCGTTGTGGGTCAGGCTATTGAGCCAAAGGCCCCGGGTGTAGTCCCTCAAGCAAACCATCAGATCACCCACTGCCTTGTGGGTCAGGCTATTGAGCCCAAGGCCCCGGGTGTAGTCCCTCAAGCAAACCTCCAGATCACCCACTGCCTTATGGATCAGGCTATTAAACCAAAGGCTCCGGACGAAGTCACACAAGCCAAGTGCAATAACTGCTATAATAATCATTAAGGTTTCCTCATATCGAGCCCTCATTAGAGAGCCAGTACGCATCCTGCAAAGTGTTGAATGACAACCCCATCCTATTATAATCATCAGCATGAATACGATGGAATTCCATGAAATACATCTCATAAAACAGTTATAAATATCCTTTTAAAATCAGCTGAAATCCAGTGAGGTGCAGATTAGACCCCCAGGGTGAATAAGCTACTGCTGCCTTATTAATAGCTCAACTCAAGTCAAGTCGTCGGTATAAGCTTTATGTTCCCAAATGGGTGCATTTTTAGCAGTTTACATTATCAACACTGAATATAGCAGAGGGTTACCAACGAAAATGGTAAGTTTTTAAATGAATAGAAAAATGAGGAGAGTGTACTGTCATAACTGGAGTTATGTTCGACCGATCAAGCAACGATTCCATAATGCAGTACTAAATTTTCGGAGTTTGCATTCAATCACAAACGGACAAGTGTTCGTTGAAATCTCTTCATAATTCGTTTCAGTTAAAGTGAAATTTTGTGTCCAAGTACTGTAGACCGGGTATCGTGCGTGATATCTCTGCGTTTATATTCAAAAGATGATTAGGGTAGATTGGTCGCAGTGACCTTGAAGCTTGACTGAAAAATTATCCGTCAGCTTATTCTTGTAAAACTGATATATCTATAGTAGATAAGGTAAAATATGGTGTTGGACGAAAAAGGCAACGGCCGATTAAAAGATCCAACCAGCAGGTCAACGTCGTCACAAATTACTTCGGAACGGCTCACTGGCACAATTCCCTCAAACTATATTTCGTGAGCAGTTAGGTTTGATACTCCCCCGTGAAACCCAATAAACTGCTTCGTCGCTTAGCTTATGAACGCAACAATTTGAAACCAACATCTTATGCGAAATGGAGTTGTGGAGAAGCAATCAAAGTCCTCAGCCGCTGTATGAACGGAAAATCATTTCATGTATCCCGTGCATTCTCTCGTTTCGTTTACAGGTGAACTGCGTAGTCATGCGTGGCTTTAATGAGGACGAAATCTGCGAATTCGCCAAACTCACAGAACATTTGGTGAGTCACTTCGTGGTGAACATCAGCCATTTCATATCACAACATCGGTCACGCTGATCGATTACATACGTGCACGACCTGCACGTTGAAGGGGTTACGGGAAATACCATAGCCGTCAGGACGGTTTGAACTGAAGTAGTACGTAATCACCACACTTAACGAAATGGCTCATGGTAAGGTGCTTGCAACTCTTTTTGCGCTTTGCACCGTCCCCTTCTCCCGCAAATACATTAGATTAACCAACACGGCTTAAGCTCATGCCCACGGTAGTTATACCAGCATGTTTCATGTGTCCGCAGCAACGGTAATGATAAATTCCCCATCTAACGGCATGTGAGGACCTCGTCCGTCATCCCATGCCAGCACTGCATTTACCACCGACGATGTACGAGACTGTTCCCACATATGGACGGATCAGTGCTGGCATGGATGAGTTTCTTGAGATCGGTCATGTAGGCGAACCTCGTATCCCTCAGATGAAGACCTGACTTAGGTGGAGTATGTGAGCCGATGGCGTGCATCAGTCCACACGTGACTTAAGCTGTTTAGCCAACTTCAGCCACACTTCATGCCGTAGTACATCACATTCACGTACACACTTGTGGCCAGGATACGCGGCCGCTATGACAGGTAAGGGCAGGAACTCAGGGCTTGTTGCTAGTGTCCATTCGGGTGTGCATGTGGCCATAAGCCCTTTTCGCCACGTGGCCACTGCAGGGCGGTGGATCAGGTGCTTTTCTGCACCATTACAGTGCAGTCCATCATAGTTGACCCCACAGTGGCCCACGCGCGCAGGTGGCTTCAGTTACTCAACCTACGTACGGTTTGTGTCTGCGGAGTACGAGGCTTGCCTGTAAAATCTGCCGGCCAGTTTAGTCAACCCGCTACACATTCGACAGCTGCACCCCGTCCAGTCTGCTCACGTAGCTATTGGATTTGGCGATGTATGTTGGATCAGTCATCAAAATTTAGAGTGTTAAGCACAAATCCCCCTGATTATTTCGATAAAATCCGGATAGATCTCATACGCTGTACCTGACGTGTCTATCGCTACCGCGGAATCCCATAGTAGAGCTTTTGATTCGGAGTCTCCCTCGGTGGACATAACGCGCCTCATGTCCTGCCAGTGTTGTGCGCAGCTTGCTTGCGGTAGACCTATGTACACATGTTCACAGTTGTTGCGAATACTTTTGTGAGCGCAGTTAGTCATCTTATCTACGAGAAGTGCGTTTTTCAGATGCACCAGTGTAGAACGGATTCTGAATGACATCCGTTGCTTAGTACCACCTGAAAGGTCAACGTAGTGCTTGCAACCTAAGAAATTATTATCGTGCCAATCCATTCTGTGGTGTTTGATATGTGGTTTTAAAACATTCCGAAACGGGTTTTTCACTAACGGTTTCGTATGTTGGCTGTTCAACAATTAGATCGTTATATACTTTCAATCAGCCTTTCCATCCTTATCCTCTGTGTGCATGGCCTTGGCTCTGTGAAACATGGATAAGACGATTCCAACATGCTTTGGGTGAGTTGAACTGTAATACGGTGCCCCGTCTGTGTCCGCCGGTTGACGAAATATCGGTTGGTAGCCTGAGAACAAGGCAGTCAAGGAATTGCAATGTGCCATGTCAAGATTCCAACTCCATGCTGAACGATTTCAGGTGTTCCACATACTAGTTTTCCTTATTCATTTTTGTGTCCGCAAGTGTGCCATGCGCTCGTTACCAACAATATTTCGACCATTTACTGTAGTTTACCAATGCCATGTACCAAATAGTGGATATTGACGACCTCATGTTAAAACCCAGTTCCTGATTGTTTAATCCCGATTGAAACGTGAGTTAAAACACGGTATCGCACAATGCCTTGTTATCAGTTGCTTCAACCAACTTAACCGTTTGTATCCTGGTGGTACCCATAGGTACCACTTTGTTTAAATTGTAACACTGCTTCAGTCCATGTGTCATTGCTGCCGACACTCTCGAGGATAAGTACAATAGCCAGAACTCCGATACGCTGCGCTACAGTGTGCGGAGTACACATTTGTGTTTCAAGTCGAGCTATAGATAAATTAAATCAGGACTCAAAGGGTTAAGATTCGATCACACCTCCAGGTTACACTACACAGTCAAACAGCGTTTCACCATCTCCAGCTCGTTGCTTTTTGGCACATTGCTGAAGGGCGTGCTAATGTTGACATTGACCATCCTCCGGTTTTTCGTTTCGCACGAACTCGTAAGAGTACAAACGTATTCGTTCGCCCTGTCAACGCTGCAGTGCACTAGCAATTGCATACAGACCAGTAAATGCAAGCTATCAATAACCGTGTCACAATTTATGTGGCATCCTCCCGCAGAGGTCAGTGTGGTACATAATGGCATTGCAGTGCATATGATGATGGCCCCCTCATCATTTAGACCGTTGATGTCATAAACTCAACAGCAGTTAACACGCAATTCGACCTTATGTCAGAACGCATTGTCCAAGGATAGCGCACAAGGAAATACGACGCACATAGACAGGTAAGCTCTTGTAAGGCTAGGTACAGCATCCGCAACTACCACTCACACACGTGAACACCACTATACACAGGTCATACCATGTGGATTTGACGAAAATGCCTATTGGCTTGTGTGCAGTCAGCCTTAGTGAAACCAACCGTTGCTGCGTTTCAGATTCGAATCCATGTCAGGTCTTGTGCAGAGTTGCGCACGATGACAGTAAGTACGGAGAACGTAGATAGAGAACCTCGCGTCGGTTCTCCGGTTATCCAGTTCTGTACTTTACGTCGGCGCTTCATAAGTGCGTCTGTTTTGTGAGCGAGTGTGTGATACAGTAGTTTCGCCTCACTTGCTTGGCCGCGCCGCGTTCTAACGATTAGTTCCTAGATTGTTTTGACATATGCGACTGAATCAGGTGGGGCTGAGTGAGTGTAATACCAAACGTGGTTTTAAACCTGGTCCTAATCCGCTGCATCCCACGGTGCTGGGAGTGGGTCTGAGTACTCGTATACTGATGTATTATACTATTAGCTGATTGAGGATTGGTCACAACAGACAGTGCGCATTTGTGCATACGCATAAGCTTGGATGCCATTTGATTCTCTTACTAACTAAGGCGATTATTTTTATGGTGGAACACAATTTTCTTAAGGCGAATTTTGATTCCGTTATGGATTCATTTGTCTAGTAGTTATAATGTATCAAACCAAAGGTGTTCATCCTCATTTGAACCGCAGCCTGGCATTTGGACCCATTTCCTGTTGACATAACTGCTCACGAAATCTGTGCAAATAAGGTGTCTCTTAGAAATTATAATTGGCATGAAACCCACCCACGTGTATACTTATCCGCCTTTGCGTCCTGAGGAACAAGTGATTGCATCACTCGTTACTTGGTCATGGTTTCGGAATGCAATGACTTTGCGGGTTACTAGCAATAAGATTTTCCAACGGGCATCTAAAGTGTAGGAGATATGAAACAATGGAACAATGGTTTATACGGGTAAAAAAACTAATTCTTAACAGATCCCGTAGGATAATTATGGTGAAACAGCAAAATATCAAAAGAATAGTTAGCAAAATTGGGTTTACACTGAACTCATTAAAGTATACGTAGGATAAACCGTAAATCCAATTTAAATCCATAAGGAACGATGGCAAATGAGATGTTGGTAAAAAAAGGTCTCTATTCCTCATCTATACATACAGGAGGTGAGAAAGTTAAACGAAATCTGTGACCGCCAGTTAAATCTCTTACAGACCCTTGTGTTTATCCTTGAGTAGTAAGTCAAATAAGATAGTGCAGCGAAATAAGTGCACGGCTTTGAACTCTACCAGTGTGGAAGCACATATGACAGATTTCAGTAGGGCATTCCACGTGCAGCAAACGGGTACGGAAAGGAAATTCCGACGGCATTCCAAGCGACTGTGCTGCTGTGGCAGCTTGTGCTGGTGGCGTCCCAAGTTACTGTTGTGACTGTTGTAGCAAGTAGCGGCACGTGTGCTTGTGATCACTCAATCGCCGATACTGTCCGCTGAAGACCACGAGCACTTGTAGCCTTCGCTGATACGGCAAATTATGCAAGCTTGACCTTTTTGGTTGCCCTGCGTTTGGTATCTCCAAGGCGGTGAGATCAATCCTCAGCCATGGCTGTCACACTTGTATTGCGTATTCTACATGTGGATACATGTATGAGCCGAGAGGTTGTGGAAAAGTTTAAAGGTCGAATCGTTCGAATACAGGATTCAGGAGGCGAGTAACAGAATGGAATAGTTAATTAAATTCACAGTAAATTGAAGTAAACAGCAGAACTCTCTTTCGGGTGTTGCAGGTTGTTACAACACTATAACCTACTAGTGCCAAAGCATTGTGGATTGCAAGACGGGGGGACGAAGTGTGTAGTTTACTCTACCATTAGAGTCTGTGCAAACTAACCCGCGCCTTGTGAGTTTGAAAAATTTGCGTAGAGCAGCGAAAGAAAGACGAAGAGACATGTGGTCTGTGCAGTCGCAACATCGGTAACAGAATGCAAAGACTGGAAAGTCAATTTGAAGTACACGTTGTGTGGATGGATTGCGACGCGCAATCTCAAAGTGGACCGCGATTCCCATTGAAGTGAACCTTGGCCAGTCGATCACTAGGACCGTAGCTGATGAAGCAGCAGCAAAATGGGTGTTGCCCGCCTGAAACCACTGCACTCCATGACGCGTTTCGAGGTTATTTCCTCTCATCAGATAGAGATAGCAGGCATCGAACCCGGGACCATTGAGATGTTAGATGTGACCGCCACCCCTAAGCCACCGGGTCACGACGAGCAAAGCTTGGCACAACGGTTAATGAGAGATTGGAAAGTCAATTTGAAGTACACGTTGTGTGGATGGATTGCGACGCGCAATCTCAAAGTGGACCGCGATTCCCAATGAAGTGAACCTTGGCCAGTCGATCACTAGGACCGTAGCTGATGAAGCAGCAGCAAATTGGGTGTTGCCCGCGGATAGGATTATGGAAAGTCCAACCACCAGAACCAACAATGTGCTAGTTCCTTCACAAGTATTTCCGTCCACTGTGGTGTAGATGGCGATGACTCATCGCTATTTGGATCGTTGGCAGCTAAGTATGGCATGGTATGCATGGAATGCAACTTTAAGACATGGAAATAAACGTGGATTTAAACACGTGTGTTGCAACAAACTGGACCACGGGTGTGGTCCAGTGTTAGACACAAGTGGACTTACTGTGCGGCTGACAGTGTTTAGATTTTGAATGAAGTGCTCAGATCATGGGAAGCACTATGCATATCCTTCACGGATGTACCTTCTCACTCCTCTCTTGCAGCCACTTGAGGTTCGCTTCATCGAGTACATGCCATTTGGTGGCAATCAATGGGAATGGAAGAAACTTGTCAGTTTTGATGAAATGCTCACGGCAATTCAACAGACGTATCCAGATACCAAAAGGCTGCTCAGATCACCAAGTTCTACCGCAAAAGTAAGTCAGTCTTCATGATAATAATCAGACGACCAGGTGGACTAAAATTTTATAAACAATGAAAAATGATTTAACACGGGATAAAGCAAGTGCTTGACACGTCCCGTAGGACGGCTGGGGTGAATATGATGAAATCAAAATATATCTGGGTCATCTACCGTACGTCTGCCTAGATGAATACTTTGATAAATTACATCAGTGTAAGTATGAAAAAGACATCGGGCGTAAACGTTTAAAAAGACACTGGGGTGAAGTGATCGTTGATGTAAGACGTGGAAAGTAAAATATGGTCTCTCACTTGGGTTTATTTGATACATAAATCCAGTTGAAAAGCATGTTTGACGTAATCCACAATAGAGGAGTTTAGGTAACAAAATGCTGGGAGCCAAGAACAACATCTAATTGTTGTTTGCAAACGTCCGAGGTGGGGGAGGAAACAAATGAGTCTGGGAGTGCGTTCCCGGGTTGGCAAACCCGAAGCGCAAAGTAATTCCGTCGACACTCTAGACGGCTATGTTGTTCCTTCAATTTTAAGCAGTTGCCTCTGAGCTGCGTGTTGTGGCTAAGTTTCAGTAAATGGCGGCATACGTGGTTGAGGTCACTCAATATCTGATACGCTAATATGAGATCTCCGAGTGGCCTTTGATAGCGTCCGCCGAAAATTCCCTGCAACTTCAGTCTTTGGTGGTAAGAGTAATAGCGCAGGCCCTTTACATGCTTTGTTGCTCTTCGTTTTGATGCCCCTAACGCCTCTAGGTCGCGCTTCAACCAAGGTTGCCAAGCTTGGATAGCGTATTCAACATGCGGGCGCATGTAGGAATTGTACATCACTGGGAAGATTGATGGGCCAAATCTCCCGAATGCCCTTCGCAACATACCGACGTGCTGGTTGCCTCTTTTTACAGATACCTCAGCTTGTTTTGAACAGTTGAGGTCGCTCTGTACGCTCGCACCCAGAGCACGTTCCTCGGAGCTGGTCTGCAATCCGTTTGTTCCAGATAAATAGGTGTAGTTATGTCTATGGCATAATACTACAACGCCACATTCGTCTACGTTGAATGGTAGGGCGTTTTGAACTGACCAGTTCGACAGTGTGTTAAGATCGCACTGGAGCCGTTCGTGGTCGTCCGGTCCTCTGATCCTTCGCCATATCCTGATATCTTCAGCGAAAAATAGGAAATTGGAAGCAATTGATCTCGCCAAATCGTTAATGTACACCAAGAACAGACGCGGTCCAAGCGCCGAGCCTTGTAGTACGCCACACGCCACATCGATTGCATCAGACGATGATTCTCGGACTCTCACCACTAGCCGTCGTTCGTGGAGAACATTGTTAATCTAACTCAGGATTGGGTCGCCAATGTCGTAGTTCCGAAGCTTCTGAAGAAGAATTCCATGGTTTAAGCGATCAACTGGTTTTGAAATCCCAGGTAGATGACATCGACTCCCACTCCCTCATCAACTGCTTCAGTCCAGCTATTACGTGAAATTAATAGGTTAGTATTACACGAATGATTTGGACGAAAATCATGTTGCTCTGGAGCTATTAAGTTGTGGCCTTCCAGATACTGCATTAATGCATCTGCGATGATAGATTCCATCACTCCTGATAGTACGGGAAGTAGTGTTATTGGACGGTAGTTGGCAGGATCAGTGCGGCTACGTCGATTATGGATAGGAGTGATGACCCCTCGCTTCCATACTGGTGCAATACGGTTCTCCTCTAGGTATCGCTGATAGAAAACAGCCAGTGGTTCTGCTAGGTCACTAGCTACCGCCTGCAGAGCCTTTGATTGGATGTCGACTGCGGGAGAACTGTGGATACGCAAGTACAACAACCTTTTCAACACAGCTTTCGCAGTGAAGGTGATGTTGTCTAAACCCGACGGTGGAGTAATAGAAATGAGGAGAATGTTTTGGCTCGTTATTTACTGGAAAGTTTGGAAGTAATGGAGCCGTAGGAGATCAGCTGCTTCCATTGCTGATCGCGTGCACCCATCAGCTGAAACTAGTGCTGGAATCCCCCGCTTCACCTTTCGAAGGCCGTTAATGTGTCTGTACCGAAGTTTGCAGTTCGTGCAGAATCGCTTCATTAACTCCTGCTGATGCATGACCTTGTCTTCACGGACCACTTTCACACAGAAGTTACGATGTGTCACGTATGTAATCCAGGTTTCGGCATTCGAGCAGTCTGGTGGTCTCGACATGTCAAATCCTTCTGGGACATACATTTACGTGTTCTGCTCCTCAGGAATGGCTTATGCTTGTGTTGGGGTTGGAAGGAGTTCTGTTCTGATGTGTGCGCAACCAGTGTGTTAAACGTCCTTGTAAAGGTTTCCCAGGCAACATCTGGGGGGAATTCGGTTAAGAAAGTCTAAGGTGTATCCTTAACAAACGTAGATAACACATTGTAGTGTGTGACAGTGTGCACTTTAGTAACCTCCTTTTCAGGATACTCCGCACGACATATATAGTCAAATAGTAGAGTAACGTGATCACTACGACCTAGTGGTGTGCTTGTAACTATCCCGTCAAGCATGAGTTCTTCGTTAATTAGCACAAGATCCAGTATCGACGGCTTGTTAGCAGTTCGAAATCTGGTGGGAGAGGTTACGCAGTTGTACAGAGGGGGGCTAGCAATTAGCTCTTGCAAGTAGGCTTTAAACTGCCTACCGTCGGTTGTCGGCGTTTCTATGTCGTGCACGTTAAAGTCTCCAGTGATAAGAATGTGGGTGTATGACTTGTTCAAAGCAAGCTGAAGAACGTAGTTCAGTTTGGAGTCCATTTCCGACGTTGAGTTTGGTGGGCGGTAAATCACGGCTAGTAGACATGTGTCCTTGTTTTGCAACCATAGGCGGCACTAAATTGAATCAGGAGCTCGGATTTCCGGGTGATCGATAAGTTCACGTCAGAGGTTTGTATTATAGTAAAGAATCACACCGCCACCCCTTCCGGTTCTATCGGTCCGAAGCAGTGACATACCGGGTAAATTGATCTCAGAATCGGTTATCTCAGGGTTTAACCATGTCTGTGTTATCATGACGAGGTCCTGCGGTTGTGAGGCATGGAGTTTCCTAAGTTCGGCCAACTTTCTTAGAAGGCCTTGGGCGTTTGTGTACATGAAATGTAGGGCTTTTGTTGTTAGGAGTGCGTTGATGGATGTCAAGTTTGTGTTAGTTTTTAAGGCGGCCGTTAAGTGGCCGGCCATTAATCGTATTTGGTTTATGAATTTCAGTCAAGTTGCATGGCATTATTGAGCGTTCCTGATTAGAGGTTTCACTCGTGCTGTGCTTTGTCCTGTTGTATGCCGTGGGCGCTGTTGTGCCGGTATCTCCGCAGGACTGCACAGATAAATAATTTGCAGCGTTTGCAAGTTCCATCGAATTTCTTCCGACTTTTGGCCCTTCGCTTGCTGAATCTAGCCGGATATCCGTTGGCAACCTAACTCGAAACTTTAACCAGCTATCCAGCAGAACTTGTGTCATTCCCTCGGAATAATATTACTTTCATTGGTCTTGGACCTCAGCCCTTGTAATTACGTGATGATGGAACTCTTGTCAGGGATTTGGTAATAACGTTGTCAACAGAGAGTGCTTCGCGGATGTAGCACCACTGCTCTCGGTCATGTGTTTGCGCATGGTGATCAGAAGAATGCAGAAGCTCGGGAACACCGTGAACAAATACTGTTTCTTACTATCCCTATTAGGAATGCCGCGTTGGTCAACTGCTTCTTTTGAGCTATCTTTCCAAGGTAGATCAGGTAATATGCGCACTCCGCTCGGTGAGTTGCGAAGACGAACTGCTGAGAGCAGGACAGCCTCTATCGCATCTGCTGAGTCTAGTGTTATTCGAAGAATTCGAGGTTCACCAGAGTGCACTGAGGTCGGGTGACGCGCTACGCGTTGCAGCATTGCAGGCACAACCCGGATACCAATCGCCTTGCAGATGGAACTCCACTAGTTGCGATCGTCTTGCAACTTGCCTTTTATTGTGCCAGATTTAGATTCGGGAACATTGGTGCACCCGAGATTTAACTCAGCGTGGTTTTGTCTAGCGAGTGTTGGCTTTATACTTTTTGCCGACAATTCGGGTTGTTAAGAAGGCACCACTGGAGTTGTCGGTGAAAGCTGCTTTGCGCCACGCCTCGGTACTGAAGATGGACCTATTTGTATCGTTCCCGGTGTGTTTGTCGAGGCAATCGATGCGTACGTTACCTGCTTGTTATCTGCACCCGATTGCCTTTGGCTCTGAGCTGTCGGTGTTATGTCTGAATCTCCAAGTGAAGCGTCTATGGTTGGAGAAGTGGAAGCAGGCATGTTTGAGGCTTGTCCACTTATGGGAGTGAGGTGACCCAATGGATTTAGAGTCACAGACGCTGCAGTGCGGTTGAAGCGTCTAGCACTTTTCTTCGGTTGTGACTCAGAGCTTACTTGGGCCGGGTGAGGTATTATCGTGGCCATATTTACCTCCGTGGGATCGATCTTAGTATTTACAAAATGCGCGATTATCTCAGTCATTCTGTCGCACTTTTTCATAAGCAAAGGTAAACAGTTGGCAACTGGAATGATTTGACATGATAGGCAAAACCAAATTGTGTCAGCAACTTTGTTTGTCTCTCTCACTGCTTGGATGGATTTGCCTACACATTGCTGACAGAACGATCTATTGCAGCTAGAACAGGTTAGACCGATCTTAAGGACTTTACTGCAATTGTTTGCGCAACATAGGCGAGGTTGAACCATTGGAATACTAGCCGTCCTCTTATTGTTTACAGCAAGGCCTATCTAACCGCTCACCTTGATGAGTGTTCTTTACGCTAGGGGTGACGCACGAATAGGTCAAAACACGCAGAGTTATGTGTACCGGTACCAATCCACGAGGTTTTTAAGCCTCACATTGTTTATTTCAGAGTATCCAATAGCTTAGGTTTCAAAATGGTCTTTCAGAAATTTACAATTTTCGAGTGTAACTTATCGCAACTGAAATCTAATCCGGTGATGTCGGATATAAAGCGAGTTCCCCAACTCCCTTGCTTCCAACTGAGAATGGTAAATGTTTTACACATCCTGCTAGTACATGTCGTGGAGACCAACTCTGTACAGCATTTCAAATCTTTGTGAACATTATGTGTTATCGCCATTCGACTCAGAGTGCGATTGAACATTGGAAATGCCCGCATACATTTGTGAGCCCAACGACACTGTAGGTCAGACATTATTAACAATAGAACGACCGCTCCGCCGCCCTAAGCACTACGCTAGAGACCGGTCAAAATAACAACAGCAATATATGTATTCATTCCAACACTTAATTTTGAACTATTTGAATTGCAGGTACTAAGATTAGGGTGTAAAATGCTTTGTGAGTGCACTTTCAATTTGGTTGAGTACAGCTCCCCCCTACTTTATGGAGTTTTAAAACAATGCAGTCTCAATCTGCTTCTTTCTAGACATCTGATTGGAAGATTTACTGTGCAAAGTACTGATAACTAAAACACTTGTATTCCTTTCGCATTGGTGGGATGTCAGCACGTGCTTATTTTTATTCTTCATAACAAATGATCAAAACAACTCTCTACCACTTTGCTTCATACTCGGCAGCACTCCCCTTCTGTCAGCTCGAATGCTTCCCAAGATAGCTGTATTCTTCTTGGAGAGTATTGCTGTCAGTGCTTCAGGTGTGAAGAAGTTGTCCCATGTGAAATTGTACTCTTATCCAAAGAAAAGTAACCTAAGGTTCAATACGACGCTCTCTGGAACACTTCCTCCACGTGGCCGAGTATTGTTGGGCGGAACCTGGGATACTAGTCGGTAAGCAATGACACGTAAGACGTGTCAAATATGACAGTATAGAAGTCGGAGGCAACTGTACCCAACGTATATTGTACAGGCTACAAAAATAGGAAGCGAATCAGAGAGAGCGAGGAACGTGCAGCGTGGAACTCACCAAAACGGTTTGTGTCAACGGATGTGCAGTCAGTTAAACAAATGGACGTTTCGAAGGTTAAAACAACCATAAAATCCAATGTTACAAGATACTGAAAGAGCATGTTTGCTGTTGCACTACAAGGGCCTCCCCCTAGAAGGCTGAAGGATGGAAGCCTTCGATAGAGCTGTTAGTGGGGGGAACGGAAGGTGAGGGTGGATGCAAATGTTTGCAGGGGCTTGAGAATAGCTTCCAAAGTGGGGTGTAGCAGATTTCGCTGGGTCCAAGCTTTTGTTAGTTTTATTTATGACGATCGTGTGGACCAGAGTGCATCATCGGTGGGCCGTCGGGGCGGGCTGGTCGGACTGCAAAAAAAACTGGCTAGTCCAGAAAAAAGGCCGACAGGACCTTCCCATTGCTGCAGACCCGACGGTGCGCTTGGGAGGTGTCACTCCCCCCACTGCACTTTAGTCCACGGTCCTCGTCCCACGAAGAAATCCAGGCGTGCTCGTCCCACGAAGGAATGCGGGGCGTCCTCGTCCCACGAAGAAATCCGGCGTCCTCGTCGGCAATGCCTAGGCGGCGTTTAGGGACCAATCCTTCGCGGGTGTCTGCGATCGAGGGCGGGGAATGGGGTGAGGATGGGGGCTGTGGGACGGCTGGCGAGTCACTCCAGGGTTGTGTTGAGCCGGTTGGCGAGTCACTCGAGGGTTGCCTGGGCAGTTCCGGCGGTTGAGTTTCTGGAAGATAGAACTGAGAGGGGGTTGGCAAGGGTCTGGGAAGTGCCTTGACGCCGGAGAGGGGACATGGCATGTATGATAAAAGCAAATACGCTTTTTAGGTTTTTCAAAATGTTTTGGGTTTTTTTATCGATTTTGCAAAACGTTTGTGGGTGAGACGCAGGATAACCATTAAATACGAAAAAGGCGTGTTAATGGAAATAGCAAACGCTTACAAAATCAGAAAAACGGACCGGACGTTTGACCTGTCTACCGCGTCGGTCGGTTGCCTGGGGTTGCGGCGGGATAGGTTGCGGGTCAAGGGGTACGGAGGGTTCCGGGTTATCCAGTGCTCGCGAAGTCACCACAGGTGCGGGTGCTTGTGAGAGAGCATCAGGATGAGCTGCAAGTGGCTCGTCAAAGAAAGCCACTTTGAGGCGATCGATGGACACCGTTGTTCGGTGACCATTCTGGTCTATAGTAAAATGTTTCGGAGTCCGTTGCAGAACTCTGAAAGGGCCGGTGTAGGGAGGCTGGAGAGGGCGCCGCACTGCGTCGGTGCGGAGGAAGACGTGAGTGCAGGTAGAGAGTCCGCTGTGCATTTGCACATCTCTAGTCTGTTCACGGGGCGGGGTCGGGCGTAGTGAACGCATGCGCTGAGCTAGGGAGGACGCAAAGTTAGACGGAGGCATACCGGACGATGCGGGAGGTGAAACGAATTCTCCTGGTAACTTGAGCGTCGTTCCGTAAACCAGCTCTGTGGGTGCACATTGAAAGTCAGCTTTGATGCTGCTGCGAATGCCTAGGAGTACGAGCGAAATGTTTTCGCTCCAGCTAGGGTCGGAGGCGGCGCAGAGCGAGGCTTTAAGCTGTCTATGAAAACGTTCAACTAACCCGTTGGCTGCTGGGTGATACGCTGTGGTATGGATGCGGCGACAGCCTAAAAAGTTGCAGAACGTATCGAATTGTGAAGATTCGAAAGGCGTTCCGCGGTCAGTTGTGATGGTGGATGGGCATCCGTAGTGCGAGACCCATCGGTCTAAGAAGGCCCGGATAACAGTCTCAGCTGTGCAGTCTGTTACGGGGATAGCTTCTGGCCATCTGGTGAAGCGGTCGACACATGTAAGAATGTATACAAATCCGCGTGACGGAGGCAATGGACCTACCAGGTCTAAGTGTACATGCGAGAACCGAGAGTCCGGAGCAGGAAATGAACCAAGAGGACTGCGGGTGTGACGATGTACTTTAGAGCGCTGGCATTGAAGGCAGGCGCGAGCCCAGGTACGAACATCTTTGTTTACGCGTGGCCAAACGAAACGTTCGGTGACCAGTTTCAAAGATGCACGGATACCGGGATGTGACAGTGAGTGAAGTGCGTCAAAGACTGTGCGTCTGAAGGAGACGGGCACGAGAGGTCTAGGACAACCTGTGGACGTGTCACAGAGGATGGTTCCTTCCGAGGTTTGGAGAGGAACAGCTTGCACATGCAGCGAAGTAGACTGCAGAGTGCGTTGTATATCCTCGTCTTGAGCCTGAGCCGATGCCATGGCGGCAAGGTCGACAGTAGGTAAAGACTGCAGAGTGAGGTTGACGCGTGAGAGAGCGTCGGCGACGGGATTGTCGACACCTGAGACATGACGTATGTCAGCAGTGAACTGCGTGACAAAGTCTAGGTGTCTTGTTTCCCGTGGTGAGTATTTGTCGCTAGCAGAGTTGAAGGCAAATATAAGGGGCTTGTGGTCAGTGTAGACCGTGAAAGCGCGGCCTTCGAGCATGTGCCGGAAGTGACGTATTGCTAGGTAAATGGCGAGCAGTTCTCTGCCAAACGTGCTGTAGCGGGATTCCGCTGGCTGCAGGCGCTTGGAGAAGAACCCAAGGGGTTGCCATTGCCCACCAACGTGTTGTTGGAGGACGGCTCCTACCGCGACGTCTGAGGCATCAGTCGTAATAGAAAGAGGTGCAGTCGATTCGGAATGAGCGAGGAGGGCTATGTTGGAGATAGCATCCTTGAGCTCGGCGAAGGCTGCCTGTGCTGTGTCAGGGAAAGCGAACTTACGTTCATTTCCTCTGAGTAGGTCAGTCAGTGGCTGCATGAGCTGAGCGCAGCGCGGAATGAAGCGTCGATAGTAGTTGACCAAACCACAAAATCGACGCAGGTGCTTGAAGGAAGTCGGAGCTGGGAAGTCCTTGATTGCCTGGATCTTATCAGGAAGGACTTCGATACCAGACGATGAAACGATGTGGCCTAGGAATTCTACCGTTGATTTGCCGAGTTCGCACTTAGTCGGGTTGACTGTGACACCGTGTTGGGTCAAGCGCTGGAAGAGAGCTCGAAGGTGCTCGAGGTGCTCTTGTTCCGATGAACTGGCTACTAAGATATCATCGAGGTAGGAATATGCGAAGTCTAGGCCACGAGTAACATCGTGGATGAAGCGCTGGAAGGTTTGTGCGGCGTTGCACAGTCCAAATGGCATTCTTAAAAATTCAAACAAACCGAAAGGAGTGATGACGGCTGTTTTAGGTATGTCATTGTCTTCCACAGGTATCTGGTGATAGGCGCGAACCAGATCGATCTTGCTGAAGATCGTCTTACCTGTGAGGCATGCGGTAAGGTCCTGCATGTGTGGGATGGGATACCTATCTGGGACGGTTAGGCGATTGAGTGCGCGGTAATCACCGCAAGGGCGCCAGTCACCAGATTTCTTGGGGACCATCTGCAGGGGCGAGGACCAAGGGCTATCGGAAGGGCGGATTATTCCAAGTTCAAGCATGTGCTCAAACTCCGCCCTAGCTACCTTTAGTTTCTCAGGTGATAGTCGGCGTGGACGGCATGACACAGGTGGGCCATTCGTCCGTATGTGGTGCGTGACTTGAGCTGCCACGGGCAAAGCTGCGTTCATTGGCTGAACGAGCTTGGGATACTGAGAAAGGAGATTAGCGTAGGCTGACGAGGTCTGGGGAAATGCATAGACCGGGGATATAGATGTCACATCGGCGGTGATGCCACGTACGCTGAGTTTTGTTGCAGTGTCGACTATCATCTGGCGTTTCGCATCGACCAAGAGGTCGAAATGCCTGAGAAAGTCAATGCCGATGATGGCAAAGGGGACTGCAGCGACAGTGAATACCCAGCGGAAAGTGCGCCGAAGACCTAGGTCCAGGGTAAGTGACTGATGACCATAGGTGGCTATTGGCGTGCCATTGGCGGCACTGAGGCTTGTCGACAGAGAAGCGGTAGGCTCACCTGGCATAGGGGGAATGACGCTGACTTCCGCCCCGGTATCAACTAAGAACTGGGTATCGGAGTCATAATCCCTAATGTAGATGAGACGACTTTGGGCTTTGCCGACGTTCGTAGCCATTACAGCCCGGCGTGGCGAATCATCTATAGCGGAGTAGCTACATGGCTGTACGCACTTACATGCTTTAGTACCGAAACGCGAGTGGTAAAAGCAGTAACCTGAGGCATCAGGTTTTGTGCGACGGTGCGATGATTCAGAGTGGTTGCGGTGCTTACGTTTTAAGGTGAGTTCTTTGATCTGGCGCTGAAGCGACGCTATCTGCAATGATAATGCGTCTATTGCCGACGGAGGGCTAGTCGCGCCTGTCGTGGTTGCGCCAGCGCAAAGCTGCTTAAGTGCTTTGGTTTCAGTCTCTGGCTGGTGCCGTTCGATGACGCGGTCTGCTAGATCTGCAATTGCTGTGATGGGCAAGTCACTTGCTACTGCAAGGATAGCCTGTGTGCTTTCAGGAAGGCGTTGCATCCACAGCTCGCGGAGAATCCCTACGTCCATGTTGGACGTGCCGATGAGCTGTTTCATTTCGCGCAACAAGGCTGAGGGCATCCTATCTCCTAGCTGCAGATCATTAAATAGTTGCTGCAGACGGACCTTGTCAGAAGGCGTGATTCGCTGAATAATAGCCTGTTTAAGTGTCTCGTATTTCATTACTAGGAGGGGGCAAAGTATGATGTCTCTCACCTGCGAGGATATATTCTGAGGAAGGCAAGATATTAGCTGGTTATACATTGCGAAATCAGAAGAAATCTTACGAATATAAAATACGGATTCTAAATGCAAAAACCATAATAAAGGATCATTCTCCTAAAAACGGGGAGGGGCCAATGAGACCGAATTGACCATGCAGGCTGAACGGCGTTAACCGCGCATGGTGACCGCTTATCCTCTAGATTATCCATTGCAAAATCAGATAAAATATGTGGTAGGTGAGAAAACAATATGATCACAAGTAAGGAATCACTGGAACGAGCTCACCAGAATGAAAGTGCAAAATGGCAGGCGGCGTGTTCCTGATAGGGGGTCACCAATTGTTGGGCGGAACCTGGGATACTAGTCGGTAAGCAATGACACGTAAGACGTGTCAAATATGACAGTATAGAAGTCGGAGGCAACTGTACCCAACGTATATTGTACAGGCTACAAAAATAGGAAGCGAATCAGAGAGAGCGAGGAACGTGCAGCGTGGAACTCACCAAAACGGTTTGTGTCAACGGATGTGCAGTCAGTTAAACAAATGGACGTTTCGAAGGTTAAAACAACCATAAAATCCAATGTTACAAGATACTGAAAGAGCATGCTTGCTGTTGCACTACAGTATCCTCCATCCCATATATAACAACGCTGGGCAGTTACAATAACCGCTCCGGGCATTCCACTGTTAAATACTACACCAGAAACTGGACAGCGTTTAGAGAATCAGCTTGTGGCAGATACGTTTTGTGACATTTTTGTTTATACTTCGATGGGATGGTACGGATATAAGCATCTCCGGCTCTCAAATACAGCATTTATCTGAAGATTCATTTTTCCGGAACTGGTGCCAGATCACTGTCAATAGGCATACCGAAAAAGTCCAAATTTCCGTCCTATTATAGTGAGCGAGGGTTAACCAATCTCGTTGTCTCACTCACGTTAAAGCTACGTAATAATCTGTTCTGAAATGAGGAACACACTACGAAATATGACATTTCGTGGTGATAATGATCTTGCGCTTGGAAAATACAGGTTACATCCAATAAATTCTTCGAAGCACCATTCAGTAAATCAATCACTATCGTAATACGTCTAACCCTTTTGAGCTAAACTGTAAACGCTTCTGCCTCTATGCCAGTTGTATCAGATCAATAACTGGCCTGGAACTGTTGGGTTCATCACTTCCATGACTGCCAACTTTTGCGCTGGATGCACTCGGCTTCGCCTCACTGCGGACGGGCAGCTCAAGGTGTGCCTTCATGGTAAGGAAGAAAGTAATCTGGTGCAGGTTGTTAAAGAAGCTCAAGTTGACTCAAATATTATGCGATCCTTTCGCGTCGACGGATTGGCTTCATGCACAGGTCAGGAGCAGCTGCATCCATTGTTTGACAGCTTGAATGCGGTGGTGAACTCAGCATTGGCAGGGAAAAGAAAGCAACATGCGAGTGAGTGACAACGTTGCCTAGAGAGAAGTAAGAACCGAGTAGTTTTATTCCAATTTTTATTCTGGCCGTTCACTCCTTCGTCATGCAGCCGGTTGTGGGCTCTGGTTTTCTTATTTATGACACTACACTATTATCAATGAACAAGTACTCAGGTTAAGTGGTGATCAGCTAACCCCCATCACTGTATACCTGTAAATGAGACGATATAATGCAGGACACTAACTAGTTGCATGATAAGTATTTTGCCTGATAGGTGTTTCACAAAATTCGGCACTTTCGCGTCAACCTGAACTACCGGTAGCTCGCTTTCACTACTCATTCACAGATCCATTTGCTTGGATGTAAAGTAAGGGGACCTTTAATGCGTGTAGCCACCAAGCACTACTATGCAGCAGAGAAGCGAATAAAGTTCCAACTGAAATATGCTCATCATGCTTTTTATTTTAGTGTATGTTCAGTCGTACGGACAAATAAACTCAAAGAAATGAGTTGATGTGTTGAAGCTTCCAGTACTCATAGTTTTCCTGATTACAATTAACTTCGAGTTTAACAATGTTCAAGCTTCAAATAGCCTGACCGTAGCGAACTTCTGCTTAATGTCATCCATTCACGAAATGTAAAATAGACATTTTCCTTGTATGATGCAAAGTCCACATAGAAGCTTTCGATGAAGTATTCTAAAGGCTGATTGCACAGTCGAGTAGTGTCGAAAAATTTATAACTGCGGCCGATACGGTCGTGTTTATCACGCAGTGCCGGCCGCGTCTCTATACGCTGCTTAGTGCTCAGACTTATTATATCGCGTTTCGTCGCACCTCAACAATTTGCTACATCTTCATCTTGAATTGCGGAGTATTCTATTATGAAATCATTCTGTCGAGAATATTACCAGTGTATCCTATATTTAGCCAGGATTACAACTTCCGGGTAACGTTTCGTTGATATCCATACGCACAAAGCTGCTTTGTGCCAACCGTGGCACTCGTTTTTGCCTCGTTCGATAGAGCATTCGAACAGCGTTCGAAGAAGTTCTCAATCGCCCCAGTTCACCATTGTGTGGAGCAACTACAGAGTAGTTTAAGATTTCTTGCAGCGAATCCTGTCATTCTCTCGGGAGTTCTGACCTACGGCGACCCAAAAATCCGGCCAAAATACTCCGTCCATCAAACCATCATATGAGTTGCCGTACGAGGTAGTAGACCAGTAAGCTGGACGAACGCCTATATAGGGCACCCCACACTCACCCCAGAGCAACGTGAACCGTGTGAACCTGCCTTAACATTGGCAGCACAGGAACAATTGCTGGCCATCAACGGTGAGTCAGCCCAATGTGTAACATGCGCTCAGCGAGTGCCGTGCCTTGCTTGCTACACGGTTAAGACTTCGTGGCTCACAGTGCAAACTGGTCAAAGTGGATGTTTTACATTCCAACTGTTGTAAAAATTTTCATACAAAATGCACCTAACTGAAAATAAGCGGGGTAAAACTTCACAGAGGTAAACCGTTATCCATGTTTTATGCGTGAACTACAAGCCAGTCCCATTGATAAAAGCCGTGCTTTTGTCAGCTCATAAGTATGAGTATCTACCGGCCAAAGCTAACGAAATGATGACCAAAAACAGTTCCACTGTCGGAATAAACATAGAGGATTGCGCAACCCAAGCCTGCTTAGTAAATGCTGCCACAAGGCTTAGTAGGACACCCAGCAACCTTGCTAGAAAAACGACACTAGTATTCCAGAAAATCTACCCCCGTTCCAATACCACAAGTGGTTCGCATTCAGCTTACCAGTTTGTTTGAAGTAAGCACACGCGAAGCAATTTTCATTCGACCAAATGCGTTCACAGCAAAAGGGCAAGCCAGTGCGTGGGCACATTCACAATTGATATGATAATCCCCGTCGCCAAATGGTACGTAGCAGTCAGGATAACTAAAAGTACGAGAGCGTATGTTCTATAGGGCTCAGAACCCTAGGTATCGAAAACAGGACTGGATAAGTAACAACTAAAAGGATTTGCGGACATGTATTCACTAGCGACACCATGAGCTTGGTGTGCACGCATGCGTGCGTGAATTTGTGGTGTATGTCATCCTGAGTGGATTAGCACCTTACCTTCAGTGCACAGGTACCAGACAGATCCACCTAGACTAAATCCAAGAGGTGGATTGCACGAATATAGCTGGCTAGGCTTGCTCGGATGAGTGTAGACAAGACTTTGTAATATGAAACTTTGGTGAGGAAATCCGGATGATATACGTGAGCACACAGAATGCTACTGCAAGGTTCGGTTACAGTACTAACTAGTTCATTGATGAAAAGCCCGCTGTTTGAAGCTGAACACATCCAAGTGCAAAGATAACGTATTTAGTTCATGAAGCAGATCGTTACTAGCCAATTAGCAAGGACTCTTTTTAATTGCACATCGATATCGAGCACCTAAGTAGCTCTATGTCAGTGTCTTATTTGGGAACCATACCGTGCTGTGCTTCATAGTGCTTGCTGCAAGTGCTTGAAACTTTCACAAAACGCAGAGGACCGTAGTTTGCTGTTTCTCAGCTGCAACCTTCCTCCATCTCCCGCAATTTGATGCCATGCTTCATCGCTGCATGCATTTTGCCACAATGAGATTATTACCCACCTGCGAATAGTCTGAACTTCTATGAGATGCAGTCGAAACTAATTGGCAGGTCCCAAAAACCCTCGTATCGCTGCAGTAGCGCTACAAACCCGTCTTTAGCTCAAGCTATTGTATCTACTCATGGTAATTCCCCCGTCTAGTACCCCTCCTATACATATAGTACCATCGGACTGCGCATCCACCTTCCAACTAGATGAAGTGTCCATCAGCATATGTGTACACAATGGCCTACGGTTTTACAAGATATATATATATATATATATATATATATATATATATATATATATATATACATATATACATATATTGGTTGTTGCCTGAACAGAAACATATCATTGAAGAAGTAACTAGAAAAGCTAACCAGTGAGGTTGCACATACACGTTACTTTTGGTTATTGCCGCTGTTTTATTACTATCGTATTTATTATAGCGTTTCTACTCAGTTCTATGGTCTGTGTGGTGCATCAAACAAGTAGGATTCAGTACGTAGAGAAAAGCACACTTTAGACTTAGCCTGAGTGTTATGACTTCCTCTCCTTCGATGGTTTCCTCAAATCAGACCTGGCATGGTCCCGCAAAAGTGGTACGAACCGGAGCTCGTTTGTAATCCACAGGACAAAAACGGTTGAAATAATGGTATCATTTTTCGAGAGCTCGTCAGATTTACTCTGAGAAAACGATCGAATGAGAGCTGCAACGCTTGTCCTCCATAGTACGTAAAAAGGGATATCCGGAGACATCCACAGCACGGCACTCAAAGGCGAAAGGAAAAACTGAGATTAAATGGCTGCCCAACGTACCTAGAAAAAAGGTGTTCATAACGTACCTGGACAGGACAGTACCTTAACTTTAACACTGTCTGTCCTGGGAATTACAGACGAGCTCTGGTTCGTACCACGTTTTGCGAGAGCTCACCAGGTGACTCTTGGGAGCGGATATCTGTTAGATGAAACGTTTGTTGCTGAAAGCTTGACTTTTGAGACAGACAAGCAAGCGATCTTCAAGCTGTAAAAACAATCAGCCAATTTTGGGTCTAATTGAACAGCGAAATGAAACTATGAGAGTCCGTAGGCTTTAGAAATATTGTAAATGGTACATACTATTGTGTTTCATGTGGCTCAAAGGATACTCAGAGTGCAAGGGGAAAGTGCGTTTATGCGCTTGCAAAATGTGTATGTTCACCCCTAACCTACAAGCCACCGACAAAGAGAATTACCGAAAAACATTGCAGGCAGTTTGTTACAAAGGTCAGTTCTTTAAAGTTGGCAGATCTAGCATCACTGAAGCAACTCACTAGCCGGTCCTTGATTAGACAATGGTATGTGTAATCGACCCTCCGGGCGAATGCTATTCATGAGGAAAATGATACACTTGACCTGTTCACACGTCTCCAGTCAAAGCGGATAGCTGGGAACTCATAGAATGCCACTTTAGTACACCAAAATTATTTGACTAGTAATACTCCAATAACAGCGGTATCAGATGTGTTTAGAACCGAGCTAACTTAAGAGTAAGAATGGTAAAATTGTGAACGGCGTTTTATGACTGCTTCTCGCTGAAACGTAACAGATAAGGTTCTAGGTAACCGCAATGGGTCTTAAGCCGTCGGTCATAATGATACCACTATAATCTATGTACACGGGATTTCACGTTCCTCACTCGGAACCCGAACTTCCAAGATCGCTGTTGTTCATTTTTCCACCGACAGGTCCGCACGAGCTAGCTGCAGCCGAAAACAGACCGATGATCCGCATTGGAGGCTAACCAATTACGCTGCGCAGAAAGCACCGGATTCATCGTTAAACTGTTAATTTGCGTGTTTGGCCAAATACACAGCTATAACATTTTCATGTCAGCTTTCTCAATAGTTTGTGTGTGTGATATTTGACTGAAGTTTGCGTGCAGCGTATTATCAGGTACATAAAAATTCAGCTAAGTCATCATTGCCACTCTCAATCAGCAGGCTTAGGCTCGCCTGGAAAAGCACCAGACGCCGGCGTTTCGACCTTCTGGCCTCGTCAGTACTGCGCCTCCCAGCGGACCCTTGCCGGATATCGCCCCTATGACTTCTAAATGCCAGCAGTTAGTGCCACTTTGCCATGGGGACAACCGCAGACTTGCGTGATTGACACTTGACTATGATATAGCCCGGCTCCTCTTCCAGTGCCAAGCCAGTTGCGAACTGTGCAGAAGACAGTGGCTAACCTCACGAGTTAAGACTTTCCGTATAGCGCCACGGTAATGCACGAGGACTTGAAAGCTATACGGACAGATTTTTCCAGTTTTCCTGACTAGCCTAAGCCTGCTGATTGAGAGTGGCAATGATGAATTAGCTGCAGTATACCAAAATCCTCACTACTCATCAGTACTACATCAAAAAAGCTGTCCGCCTAGCTTTCAAGTCCTCGTACAGTGCCGGGGCGCCATACGAAAATTCCTAGCTCGTGAGACTAGCCACTGTTCTCTGCACACTTCGTAACTGACATGGCAGTGGAAGATGAGCCGGACTATATCATAGTCAACTGTCAATCACGCAGGTCCACGGCTGTCCCCCATGGGGAAGTGGCACCAGCTGCTGGCATCCAGAAATCATGGGGGCGGCACCCCTGGGGGGCGCACTACTGACGAGACCCAGAAGGTCGAAATGCCGGCGTATGGTGATTTTCCAGGCGAGCCTAAGCCTGCTGATTGAGAGTGGCAATGACGAATTAGCTGCGTTATACCAAAAGCTTCCTTACCCGTCAGTAATATAACATAATATTACCAACAGTATGCGTAATGTCATTGCTGGTTGACCCCCGAAGTTGTTCGTGCCCAATTAAGGTTGACAAGCAGTTCAAGCATGTACAAAACCCTTGTCCGTGGAAGACAGATTCTCCTCTTCTAGGGAACACTGTGTTCAAAGGATGGGGTACAGAAATAAGAATGGTGGAAACTTTGCAACAATCAGCATGTAGGTTGTAAATGTTGCGACAGGATTCTCGATAGAGGAGGCAATATTACTGGAGGGCTAAGTTAGTTCTTCTCGATAGCTTGAAAGGACCAAGGTCACTTTGGCCCCCAAACAGCGAGTTTTAACGCTCACCTGTTTAAAAAAACGAGATATCCAGGCGAGAGCTGAAGGCCAGCTCCGATAAGCTAGTAAACTGAAGGAGAAGCGATGTTTGAAGACAGCTAAACCTTCCACTAAGTTATTATGAAGCCGAACATCATCAGTTAGGCGGTATGGATAAAATTAAATGCGTGAATGAATAGTTTTATTCTCGATGAAACGAGCGACACATCAGGGCAGGCATGATCAAGTGATCGTTAATTGAAGCGCAAACTATATTTCGTGAAATTCGTTTCACTTAGACTGAGCTAGACAGCCACTACACATCCGGGAAAGTGCGAGACGGCTGTTTCGGCCTATTGAGACTCGTTAGTAGCGCACGTCCGCTGAATCCTGTCGGATACGAACCCACGACCTAACTCTTGCGAGCCAGCGACTAATACCACTGAACAATGATTTATAACGGATAAAAAAGCAGGTGCTTGACATGTCCCCTAGGGTGTTTAGAGTGAAAAAAGATAGATCAAGGGATAATGGAGTAGTCAGTTCGGGCGATTACAGATTTAACTGACTGTCATATAAAGGGAGTTTGAAATGAGAATGTACGCTCACAAAGCCATAAAGGGAGTGGTTATTGATCACATAATAGGTTAGAAAAAAATAAAAAGATAGCAAGGACAACGCTTACTCGTGTGCAACTAACTTGGGTCAACAGGATACAGAAATCCAGTTTCTATAGTAGTAGCATTTATCAAATTTTGTGCAAGGGGTTTGGAGTGACTCATTCTCGAGTAGGGTTATGACCCTATCCACTGTCTGTTGTGAATTAGTGCCAGCATCTGGTGGTCATGGGCTATAGCACGTAGTGTAAATGTGACAGGGAATCGTCAAGGCGTTTTTTGAAAAGGGATAGGGTGGGTGCATTAATTATATGTTCCGGGATGGCGTTCCAAGGCTGTGACACTCGAAGGGAGAAATAGTGCATTCAACCGACAGTGCGGTCGCAAAAAACTCTCCTCCTGCGTTATTCGCCTCCATCTTTGGATTTATTCTCACAGAGACCTACGTGCCATCATTCGATTTGGCTCCGCGAGCTCCTCCTACCAATGTTCATCTATTGGATTTATCATTCACGGATCACCAACAAACTGTGCTTTTGGAACTTCGAAGTCAACCGTATTTGAAGCTTATCGGATGTTTTATTTTTCCTCTCGTCGCATAAGAATTCTTGTGGTCTTATTTTAAAGATCTTTTTGAGAGTCACCCGATCAGCTTACTACCATTCCTTCAAGTCGATCTACAAAGCGATAGTCGGCAATTTGCTCTGCATTTGGAACTGCCACTGTCGTCACTAGACAGTATTTTCCAAGTCACCTTGCTTTGCCTCAGTCGCTTTGTCTCGCATCGCTGTCTACCCGTCTGGATCGATAGCACGCACATCGCCTGGACCTGCTGACCTCAAACCAGCGCCGATTGCCACGCAGCGGTGCGTCAGTATCTCCATCCACTTCCTACCCCTACTGAGAACATGTCTCGTATGAAAAGCAAATGCGAATCATGTGCTAAAGTGGTGAAAAATGGTCTGATGTGTACCATGTGCTTGAAAAACTATCACACCATCTGTTTTGGGAAGAAGTCGACGGAAGCAAACACCGCAGAGTCGCCTTGGTTCTGCCAAGTATGCAAGTCTATTCCATTTGTTAGCTGTCTATATGTGCTACTGAAGAGGTGTGAAAGACTAACCGAAGCGGTCAAGCAACTTGTGAGTGAAAATAACACCCCGAACTCACTAGTCAGGCCGAAGAAGCGAGCCAGGCGTCCCAACCCAACCCCAATGACTCAGCCTCCAGCAGTATCAACTCCATTCTCCCTCCCTCCTATAAGTAAAAGCAGTGCCTGCAGCGCGTCTGCCTCAACTTCTGTACTGTGTGCTGCACCTAGTAGTCTGTTCACTACACTCGAGAATGTAAGCTATAGTCAACCAGCCATAGTGAACAACCCGGCAACGTACGCATCGGTTGCTGCCAAGCAAACACCGGAAAGAGCACCGGCAACCTTTGTGCCCGAACTAGAGAAAACAAAACTGCCGCAGCACGGATGGCACACACCAAGGCCGTTCACAAATTCAACAAAAACACGAGAAACTAAGCCTCGAAATCCAAAACCAGTAGCCACCAGGCGCAACCATGGTGTCCTAAACATTGTATGCACTAATGTCCCCGAATCCAAATCCAATACAATTAAGGGTAAGTTGACGGACGATCGAAATCAGTGGGGTTCCATCTGTACGTCGATCGGAGTCCATGCTAATCCCACGACATTAAAATCATCATCATCATCATCATCATTATACATGTCAGCTAGAGATGGTAAAACACCTCCGCTATTGTACCGCAATACATAAAGGAAATACATACATACATACAATACATAAAGGAAAAATAAATACGACAGTTGAATGCCAGCTGAGCTACCAGCAACGGATACGCATCGTTCCGGTAAGCTACTAGCCGGCTACTAGGCAAAAACAAAAATTTAATTACGTTTTACCCTACGAAATAAGATCGTAGATGGAGGGGGGGCTAAAGGGATGGGGTGGGACAAAGAAACTCACAGCAGGAACACCACTGAGGTCGGCTCCTTGCCATATCAGCAAGTGTATCCAGCCAAACGTGTTCACCGTCTTTTGGACCCCAACCAGGGAGCCGTGAAGCTCCAACTGAGGCCAGCTCCGAAGTGAGGGCCTTCATTCCTCTGGACCAAGTCATCGCTTGGCCACCTCTCCTCTTCTTCCACCCACATCCCCGGTGAGCAAACAACGCACGTCGAGGGAGTCGGTGGGCTGACATGCGCAACACGTGGCCCAGCCATCGGAGCCTGGTGAGTGAAATGACGGTGCTGAGCGGTTCATTCCCTTTTCCTAGGCCGTAAACAAGGCGTCGAACACGCTCGTTACTCACGCGGTGTTCCCACCAGATGTGAGCCAAACTGCGAAGGCACCGATGGTCGAACGTAAGTAGCCTCTTCATGTCCGCCGATCTCAGGGGCCAGGTTTCGCAACCATACAGTAAGGTCGAACGTACCGCTGCATTGTACACTCTACCCTTCAGGGCGAGAGTAATGTCGCGCCGTCGCCATAGGTGGCGAAGGTTAGCAAAAGCACTTCGAGCTTTCGCTATGCGGTTCGTGATCTCGTCTTCGATCCCAAGGGCGCTGATACAACTTCCCAGGTAATTGAATTTCTGAACGACTTCTAGCTGATCCCCACCAAGGGTCAGCACAGGGGGCGAACCCTGCCAATCCTGGAGGAACGCTTTGCACTTCGGTGGTGCAAAGCAAAGTCCGAAGCGACTGACAGCCAGTGCTAATCTGTCCAGCGCGGCTTGACACGTCTGGGAGCTGTCACAGATGAGGGCAATGTCGTCTGCATGCTCTAAGTCAAGAAGTCGTTCTCCTGGGAGTAGCTCCACACCTTCCAAGTCATGTCCTGTAAATGCAATCTCCATGACTTCGTCAATAGCGAAGTTGAAGAGGAAAGGTGACAGCGGGCATCCTTGTCTCACACCGCTGGAGATATTGAAGGGTGGCGACAGCCTGCTGTAAGCCCTCACTCTGCCCGTGCTACGCGCATATAATGCTTGGATAATATTTACATATTTCTCGGGCACACCTTTCCTGAGTAGACAATTCCAAAGGGCACATCGATCAACCGAATCGAATGCACCTTTGATGTCGAGGAACACGACTACGGTGGGCCGCCAATATGTGTGACG